AACAAATCATTTATTAGAGACCACTTTTTAGTATTAAACAAATATTTCTTAGTATTTAAAAACATTTATTAATATTTAATAAATGAATATCAGATTTATTAAATACAAACAAATAATTTTAAATACTAAGAAATATTTGTTTAATACTAAAAAGTGGTCTCTAATAAATGATTTGTTTAATATTAATAAATATTTTTAACTATAAACAAATCGTTCTATCAGTGTATTCATGAAATTATTTTGAACAAATTTGAATTAAATTGATTAGAATCATTAAGAAATCACAAATGCTATTGACTTTTTCTCTGATGACTTCTCAGAATCTGGATCAGGCTCAGGGTCTATTTTTGTTAAATTTTTCAATTCGAAAATTTTTAGTAACTTAAAAATAATATTCTTTTCAGATTATTGAATTTCGATGTCAGAATAATCGAGCCTATTTCAACTATAAGATGCAAATACATTGTTATATGTCCATCAGGCATTTAATTTTTAAAATTTATTAATTCCATTGAATCGGTTATCTAAATAAAAAGCTAAGAATAAACAGCAAAATGTTGCAAAAATTTAAAAAATCTAACATTGATATCATTTAGTCCAAGTTTCCAATAACTTAACAATCTTCAGAAACTTCATTAAAACTATCAAACAAAATAATCAATCTGTTTAGAAGGCGAGGTCGTTCTTTTTCGTCTTTCAAATACTTCCTACATCAAATAATTCAATGACGAGAATTAAAACCTCTCGTTGTGTAATCTCTAGTTTTTTAGTCCAACGTCCTCGTGTTCCGCTACCGCTCTCTAAAATGCCTTCGACACAACTACATATCTACTAGAGAGATATACTTTTTTTTAGTGTAAGTATCATACCTACAATTATTATTATAACATATTACATAATTTTCAATGTCTGAGAAGGATGAACTGTTATTAGCATTTATGAGATGTAACTTGCAATATTAATAAGCAAATAAAAATCAGTCTTGGTGATACTTTAGACGAAGCATCTTTCGTTCTTGTAATGTTCATCAAATTAAATATTAAAAAAATTTTTAATCTACAAAAATAAAAATAAAATGGAGTTAGGGGCAATTGATTTAGTGATTATAATAGTAGGAATTGTTGTTGGTTTTTATTATTGGTCAACAGCGACTTATAATCATTGGAAACGATTGAACGTTCCTGGTCCGAAACCACTTCCACTAGTTGGTAACTTCGGTTCTTTTTATTTTGGACAAAAAGCATTCGCAGATGTTCACCGAAAATTTTACAAGGAATGGAAACACGAGCCATTCTTTGGTATTTACAATGCACGTTTGCCGGGTCTAATGGTGACAGATCCAGAGTTAATACGTCATATCTTGATAAAAGACTTCAATGTCTTCAACGGTCGTGGAATTAACATCAATGAAAATGACCCGTTGGCGCATCATCTGTTCAACATTGAAGGGCACGAGTGGAAAGTACTACGCTCTAAATTGACACCCGCATTCACGACAGGTAAACTCAAGCACATGATCGATTTAATGATCGAGTGCGCAGATCACTATGAAAAGTTTTTGAAGGACCAAATTGGAAGTGGCAAAGTACTTGAGAGTCGGGAATTGGCGGCGAAATTCACCACGGATATCATTGGATCTTGTGCGTTCGGCATTAATATGAATGCTATTGGTCAAGAAGACAGTCAATTTCGAATAATTGGAAGAAAAATTTTTGAACCAACTATTTGGAATATGGTTAAACGATTGATGTCAATTTTGACACCGGGACTGTTCAGGTTTTTGGGCTTGCTGACTTTGTCAAATGAACACACTAATTTTTTTATAAATTCTATAAAAGAGACCATAAAGTTCCGTTTAAAAGAAAAAATTGTTCGTCATGATCTGGTTGACATGTTGATTGATATTAAGAGACATCAAAATGAAATCGATTTCGGTAAATTTAATTTTTTTTATTTATTAGCTTACAGTAAAAAAAAATACTTCTTTTAAGAATTAATGTTTTTCCCTAATTAAAAATTCTAATTTTAAATGATTTAAGTTGACTAATATATAGATATACATTTTGTATGGATTGAATAATTTCAAATTAGATTTCTTAATCAGGGTTAACACAAGAACAGATATTATTCAAAATTTCCAACAGTATACTTTTTTGTCTGAAATATTATTTCTTCTTTGAAGAATTGGTCGAATTGATTAAAATAATTGTTATTTAATTCAAGTAAAGATATTTATTTGTTTGCTTATAATTATTGCAACGAATGTTCACAGTAAAAAATTTTGTGTTAAATATTTAACACTTTTATGAATAAATTTAACATTTTTTTGTATTAATTCTTTTAAACTAACACATAAAAGTGTTTATTTATTTATTTATCGCCTCTATTTAAACCCAACAGCCCAAAGGGCCAATAAGAGAGTTCCTCAATTTATATAAAGTTGTAGATTGTGATAGAGTGAGAATACTTAAGGTAGTTTTGTAGCGTGAAAGCCATTTCAACAGAAAATTATGAAATTTTTTTTATTGAAAGATTAATATATAAATAATTCACTACCAAAATTTCTGATCAATTGACCGCACCGTTTTTGAGTAATTAATTTTCGAAATTGCATCTTTTACACGTAGGTAAAATATGATTCTTTATAAACGAAAGTTTCTATATTTAAATACTATAAATTAATAAAGTTGCTTACTAACTAAAAAAAAAAAAAAAAAGAGATTAATTAAGGCTATGTGTGAAGAGTTACATTTATATTAAAATTTCTTCTATTATTAACTTGCACCTTAAAATGCATAAATTGAACAGTGTTAAATATATGTTAAACACAAATTTTTTTTTGATGCAATGACGGAAAATTTTTTACTGTGTTGATATTATTTTATCAAGAAATTAATATCTTAAATTGTTCATTTTAAAAAATTCTTGAGTAAAAAAATCCTTGTTTAGAAATATTTTTTTTTCTTAGTGTATAAATATCAATTTATCCATAATATAATTTACAATTACTTTACAGAGTTAACAGAGGCTCTTTTGGCATCGCAAGCTTTCGTTTTCTTCGCCGCAGGCTTTGAAACTTCCTCAACGACAATTTCTTTCGCATTGTACGAATTAGCAACTGTTCCTGAAACTCAAGAAAAATTAAGAGCTGAAATAATTGAAACACTGGCAAAACACAATGGTCAAATATCATACGAAGTTATCAATGAAATGAAATACCTCAATATGGTTTTACAAGGTTCATATTTATTTCACCGCTTACTGACCTATAATTTAATATTAATTTTATATAATTATTTCAGAAACGCTGAGAAAAAATCCTCCAGTTATTCTTCTTCAAAGAAAATCGATACAACCCTACCAAGTACCTGGAAGTGATGTAACATTACCTACAGGAACAAGAGTATTCATCCCGGTGTACAGTATCCATCACGATGAGCAATACTTTCCAAACCCCGAACTTTTTGATCCTGAGCGATTTGACGAAGATGATAAGAAACATTCTATGACCCATTTGCCATTTGGCGACGGCCCTAAGAACTGTATCGGCGCGAGATTTGCTGCTTATCAATCAAAACTAGGACTCATTTGTATTCTTAAGCATTTTAAAGTATCGCCATTACAATCCACTAAAGTTCCCTATGAAATTGACAAAGCTGCTATCGTTTTATCCGTTAGCGGAGGAATTAATTTGAAATTTGAACCGCTCAGTGCGAAATGATCTAAGTATTGAATTACTCATATGAAATTGAGTATTTTTATACTTATATAAATGATAATTAACTTTATTTTTTTGCTTAGTCACACAAACAACTTATGAAAATTATCTTCTATCTAAAAGAGATATTAATAATCAAATTGTTTTCACAATTAAGATATTGTAAGTAAATAATGGATTCGAGTAATAATTTTATTAATTGTATACAATATTTTTTTATAAATTAATCTAAAACGACTTTTTCAATGAGTCAGCAATAAATTTTTTAATAATAAAAAAATATGCAAATAAAATTTTATTAAAATACCAGCGCAAGTTTTTTTTTTTTGATTGTAGCTATTAGCAATTAGTTTTAATTGGAGGAATAATACCAGGAAAAATTAATTAAATGACTTAGCAAGTCACTACGTAGAGTAAATACGTTTTGTGTGTCGAACCTGATATGATAAATAATTTTTAGGCCAGTCATTGTAAAGCTTTTGCGGTGATAAGCAGTGTGTTAGTAATCACAGTGAGTGTTGTAATAAATAATTAGATTTACAGATCAAAATGGAGTATGGAGTGCAAGAAATTTTAATTATAACCGCTGGGATTATTATTCTTGCTATTTATTATTGGTCCACAGCGAAGCATAATCACTGGAAACGCTTGGGAGTTCCTGGACCAAAGCCAACACCATTGGTTGGAAATATGGGTCCGTTTTTCTTAGGGAAGAAAGCGATGGCTGAAAGACAAGAAGAAATGTACAAAGAGTGGAAAAATGAACCGTTTTTTGGGTTTTACAATTCACGAATGCCAGTTTTAATGATAACTGACCCCGATTTGATACGACTGGTGTTGATAAAAGATTTCCAGGCATTTTCAGGTCGTGGAATTAATATCAAAGACGACGACCCTCTGGCAAATCATCTGTTCAATATCGACGGGCATAAATGGAAAGTACTGAGAGCCAAGTTGACGCCAGCGTTTACTACAGGGAAACTTAAGTTGATGATTGATTTGATGGTAGAATGTGCAAACCATTTTGAAAGGTATTTGCTAAATCAAGTTGGCAAAGGAAAAGTTATCGAGTGTCGGGAAATAGCGGCTAAATTTACCACGGACGTAATTGGGTCTACGGCTTTTGGGATTAATATGAACGCGCTGGATAGAGAGGATAGTCAGTTTAGGATAATAGGAAGAAAAATGTTCGAGCCGTCTGTTATTAATATGTGTAAGCGGCTGTTGCGGGATTTTTCACCGAGACTTTTTAAACTTCTTAACATTGAAATAATCCCCAAAGCACATACTGATTTTTTTGTGAATTCTATTCGAGAGACGATAGAATTCCGTGAGACAGAAAAGATTGTTCGTCATGATCTTGTTGATCTTTTGAAAGATATAAAAAAAAATCAGCATGAAATTGATTTTGGTAAGTATTTTTAATTTATTTTTTTGTTAACTCGGCTGCCCAATTTTGAAACAGAGTAACTGCAAAATTTTTATACCTGATTTTTTTTAGTATTTTTCTTAAAACTTTTAGACCTTAATTTCAAGTATTGTTTCTTAAAAATATTTAAATTCAAGTATTTTCTATTTATAAATCAAATTTTTTATTATTTTAGCGCGCTAACTCTTTCTTAATAAGAAAAATTAAAAAAAATTTTTAAATTGTCAGTTACTGTGTTTTGAAATTCGACAGCTGAACTAATGATTATAATTATTTATATAATAATTAATTTAAAGAGGTGACCGAGGGACTCCTGACATCTCAAGCGTTTGTATTTTTCGCGGCTGGTTTTGAAACTTCTTCTACGACTATTTCTTTTGCTCTTTATGAAATGGCGCTTAATCTTGGAGTTCAAGAAAAATTGAGAAATGAAATACATGAAACATTAAAAAAACACAACGGTAAATTGTCTTACGATATTATCAATGAAATGAAATATCTCAATATGGTTTTACAAGGTAATTTTTTAAAAATATTGAAAGTATTTTTTTTTGTTCTTAAATTAATTCAAGCGTTTGATTTTCAGAAACTTTAAGAAAAGATTCACCTGCAATTTTATTGAGAAGAAAATCAGTTCTACCTTATAAAATACCTAACAGCAACATAACTTTGCCAACTGGCACCGCGATTGAGATTCCAGTGTACAGTATTCACCACGACGAGCAGTATTACCCAAATCCAGAAGTTTTTGACCCAGAAAGGTTTAACGAAAATGAGAAGAGACATCAGATGGTTTATTTACCTTTCGGTGACGGGCCTAAGAACTGTATTGGATTGAGATTTGCTGCTTATCAATCTAAACTTGGTATTATTTCTGTTTTAAGACACTTTAAAGTTTTACCTTCAGACTCTCTTCAAATACCTTACCAAATTCACAAAGCATCTATTATTCTATCAGCTGCCGGTGGGATCAATTTGAAATTCGAACCACTGGTTTGATATGAAATATATTTCAAGTTCATAATTATTGATTATACTTGTGTATGTTATTGTAAGATTATAGGAAGCAATTACCTATATATGTATTGCTGTGTAACCTTGAAATAATTATCGAAAAAAATCGTTAACGTTTTCATCATATTTAGTGATTATCTGATTATATTTTATAAATAAATTATATTTTTGTTTTTTATAATTATATTGTACTGTATGGATAAGATAAAAAATTATTTGACGATTACTAACAAAGTACCTATAATTACTTAAAAACTATAAATATCTCTGATTAAGAAACTGAATTAGAATAATGTACTTTAATGTAAATTAATATTGTCCAGAATTTATCTGTATAATTAATAATTATAAGATTATTACGGACTGAAGATAACAAAAAGCGACAATAGTTTGATTTATTAAAATACATTATATATTTTGATGAAAAAATGGTAATTTTTTAAATTATTATTAAATTACTAAATATATAAAATAGATTTAGATTTAGATTTAGATTTTTATTGGTGATTTTGCAGCATATTATTAGAAACATACAAAAAAACTTCATCTTGGCAAAAAATAATCATTAATTTCTATAATTTTAATGAAAATTTATTCGAACATAATCATATAATGTGTTCAAGTAATACTTGAGATTGTGAGATTTATGCATTGTCACTGTTTGTTAGTCATTGGATGAACATACACGTAAACTGCGCATTTTATCGAATGGACTTGTAAGATCTCTTTATATCAGTTCATATTAAATCTCATTTTTCATAAGTTGCAGTAACTATCTTAAAAATAAATAAATAAAAAATGGAATTTGGAGTTCAAGAAATTTTAGTGATAATTTCGGGAGTTTTATTTACTATTTATTATTGGACTGTCTCTACACACAATCATTGGAAGCGTATGGGAATTTCTGGGCCAAGGCCATCGCCGCTAGTTGGTAATATGGGTTCTTTTTTTGTGGGAAAAGTGTCTATAGTCGAACTGTTGGATAATTTGTACAACAAGTGGAAGAACGAAAGATTTATCGGAATCTTCAACGGGCGTACTCCGGTTTTGATGGTTATGGACCCCGATTTAGTTCGGAATATTTTAATAAAAGACTTTAATATCTTCCCGGGTCGCGGAATGCACATTAATGAAGCCGATCCTTTGGCTCAAAATTTATTCGCCATTGATGGTCATAAATGGAAAGTTATAAGAAGTAAATTAACTCCCATATTTACAACGGGAAAATTGAAACAAATGGTTGATTTGATGATCGAGTGTGTTGAACACTTTGAAAAGTATCTTAAAAATCAAGTTGGCAGTGGCAAAGTTGTTGATTGTCGTGAAGCTGCAGCGAAATTTACCACGGACGTAATCGGCAGCTGCGCTTTTGGGATTAACATGAATGCTCTTAACAGAGAAGACAGCCAGTTTAGGATAATAGGAAGAAAAATTTTCGAATCGTCTTATTTAAAGTTGTTAAAGCGATTGTTTCAGGAAGCCACTCCAAGATTTTGCAGGCTTATCGGGATGAAAGGAATGCCTAAAGAAAGTATCGATTTCTTTGTTAATACTATAAGAGAGACAATGGAATTTCGCGAAAAAAATAATCTAGTTCGACATGATTTAGTTGACATTTTGAGAGATATAAAGAAAAATGAAAATGAAATTGATTTTGGTAAGTTAATTTTTTAAATATTTTTATTTTTATACACTGAGAGAAAAAATTGAGCAATGTTGTACTACGAAAATAATTTGTTGAAAATTTGAAACAATTTTGTTTTTTAATTGAAGAAATAAAAATTTTTATCACAGTAACTTTCTTGACAAAAAAATTTTCTAAATTTGGAAAAAAAAATAATTTTTAATAAAAATTTGCAATTCGTCTATTTAAAATTGTTTTTTTCCAAATGAAAAAAACTTTTTTCTAACATAAACGTTTTGATTTCTTCAGTTAAAAAATAAAATTGTTTAATATTTTCAACAAATTAATTTCTTGTTCCAATAATGCCCATTTTTCAAAATACATTTTATATTTCAGTGTATATAAAATTAATTGATGGTTTTTTTTAATTATTCTAGAGATTACGGAAAATTTATTGGCTGCCCAGGCGTTCGTTTTCTTCGCAGCGGGTTTTGAAACTTCTTCAACGACAATTTCTTTCGCTTTGTATGAACTGGCGCTTAATCTTAAAGCTCAAGAAAAATTAAGAGCTGAAATTTTGAAAAGTTTAAAAAAACACAATGGTCAATTGTCCTACGATATCGTTAACGAAATGAAGTACCTCAATATGGTTTTAGAAGGTATGCAGTATTATACTAATACACATTCTGTTAAAATCTATAAATTTTCAATACAAAAATGGATTATATTCGATTAAAGATTGCCAATGATATGAACTATAAATAATAATAACAATAATTTTGTATGTTTAGAAACACTGAGAAAAGATTCACCAGCAGGGCTATTGATAAGAAAGTCAGTGGAACCTTATAAAATACCAGACAGCAACATAACTTTGCCGGCCGGTACAACAATACAAATACCAGTCTACAGTTTTCATCACGACGAGCAATACTATCCGAATCCAAAAGTTTTTGACCCGGAAAGGTTCAATGAAAATGAGAAGAGACATCCAATGGTTCATTTACCTTTCGGTGACGGCCCTAAAAATTGTATTGGCTCGAGATTTGCTGTTTATCAATCAAAACTAGGATTAATTGCAGTACTAAAGAATTTTAGAGTTACACCTTCAAAATCAACACGCGTGCCATTCAAAATTGATAGTAAAGCTTTGGTTCTTTCAGCAGTCGAAGGAATAAATTTGACGCTTGAACCTTTGAAATAATTTAAATATACAATAATTTTTAATAATTAATCATGAGAAAATATTCTTAAAGTAATTATCATTTTTTTATTAAAAGAACCAGATTTATTTAGCTGCAATGTAATAATTTATTACAATATAATAAATTTTTTTGAATCTAATTAATCACTTCGAATAATGAAATTGTGAGTGGAATTTTAATTGATTACATATTATGATTTTTATTAAATTTTTTAACTTGAATTATACCGGCCATTTTAATGTAATACACTGATAAAAAAATTTTACTCAAGAGAAAAAAAATTCTTGCGTCAAGAAATTATTCTTAATTTAATTTAATTTAATTTAAGTAAATTTTTCTTCAATAATTTTTTTTCTTGGCTCAAAAGTAATCTTTAAAATCGTATTTTTAGTTCCAGATTTTTTCTCTTGAATTAAGGTAACTTTTTTATCAATGCATGCATTGATAATTACAAAATAATTACATGCATTGTAATTATAACAATATTTTATATTGTATATTATTCCAAACATTCAAAATATGAAAAATTTGTATTGATTTTTTAATTATATTCTGATAATTCGGCCCTTTGGGTTGTTGGTTTTAAATAAAGGTAAATAAATAAATAAATAATTTTACTGTAATTTTATTAAAACAAAAAATTAATTAATTAAATCTTTATCCGTTGCTACGTATGCAATTGATTTATTATCTCAATTACTGATTACAGCTCGACTAATATCAAGTCATAAAACTTTCCGTACATTAATCCAAATGTTTTAAATAAAAATTATATGTGGTTAAAAAATTTCAAGTATCAATGTAAGCTTAATTAATTAAATTTGGTACGGTATACAGATTTTCAAATTTATCGCAAGTCAAAAAATAAATAAAATAAGTAATATTTTATTGCCGTTATGTAATTTGTGATATCATATTCACCAGTCATTCAGCATGATATGCAGTAGAACTATATATACTTTGTATAGATATGATCAGTTTAATGCTCAGTCATGCTTGTTACTCTGCTTTTTATTAGTACGTCGTATTTCTCGAGCATTAAATAGTAGTTAAAGAGTTTAAATTCGATTAATAAGTACGTAGTAATTTAAAATAATGGATTTCGGCTTACAAGAATTGCTAATAATAACTGCAGGAGTTATTCTTGCAATTTATTATTGGTCGACATCAACGCACTATTACTGGAAGCAATTAGGCGTTCGTGGTCCAAAACCAACGCCGCTTGTCGGCAACATGGGTCCGGTTTTCTTCGGCAGAATGTCAATAAACGAATTATTGATGAAACTATATAAGAAGTGGAAAAATGAAGGCTTTATTGGAATCTACAATGCAAGATTTCCGGTGCTAATGATTACCGATCCCAATTTAGTGCGTCATGTTTTAATAAAAGATTTCCATGTCTTCCCAGGTCGCGGAACAAAAGTAAATGACAACGATCCTCTAGGACAGCATTTGGTTAGTCTCGAAGGTCATAAGTGGAAAGTAATGAGAGCTAAATTAACGCCGATTTTTACCACAGGTAAACTCAAGCACATGGTTGATTTAATGATTGAGTGTGCGAATCATTTTGAAAAGTATCTGGAGAATAAAATCGGGAGTGGTAAAGTGCTTGAGTGTCGCGAGATAGCGGCTAAATTTACTACAGATGTCATTGGATCTACTGCTTTTGGAATTAATATGAATGCGCTTGAAAATGAGGACAGTCCTTTTAGAGTAGTAGGACGAAAAATATTTGAGCCGTCTGTTTACAATATGATAAGACGAATGCTTTTTGATTATTCACCGAAACTATTAAAGCTTCTCAACATGATAGGTTCACGTAAAAACCACACTAATTTCTTCATCAATTCTATTCGAGAGACTATGGAATTTCGGGTAAAAGAGAAAATTATTCGCCACGATTTGGTAGATCTGTTGATGGACATAAAGAAAAATCAAGATGACATTGATTTTGGTAAGCAATCCATTTTTCAAAGAAGAGAAAAATTCTTGAACCAAGAAAAGAAAAAAATAATATTCAAGAGTTTAATTGTTTTGGATCAAGACGAAAAATTCTTGAATCAAATAAAATTTACTTAAATCCAGAAAAATTTCTCAATCTATAAGAATTTTTCTGCTTAAGTTAAATCAAGAAGATGAAATTCTTCAAAATCATTTACTTGATTCAAGTTAATTTTTTTTTTCTGTGTACTTATTTATCTGAATCATCAATTATTTCGCGTTGCAGATGCCGTAAGGGCGTATACCGGGGAGATTTATTGTTCAAAAAGAATAACATAACACCAAAAAATTTTTTTTTCGAGAATCAATCTAATAATAATTTAAAAGTATAATAAAAATAACAAAATTTTTTTTTTAATTTGAATTTTTTATCAGTTTTAGACTTCCCAAGCGTCACAAAAAATAAATGTTAACTTTTTGGTAAATTTTACCCAACAAGAAGTTAAAAAATTAATAATTGTCAATTTAAATTCAACAAAACATTAACAAAAAAAAATTTGTGCCACTTGGGTTATAGATCATAATTATGTCGTTCTCGAAAAAAAATTTTTGATAAGCTCTTATGACTTCCGGGGTAGGAATCAGAGAAGCCGTAAGGGTGTATTAAAAACTAAAAATTTTGACGAAATTTTTTTTTGTCATTATTATAGTACCCCAAGCGACACGAACATTTTTTTGGTAATATTTTGTTGAATTTAAGTTGTCAATCATTAATTTTTCTTGTTTAATAAAACCTTCCAAAAAGTCAAAAAAATTTTTTTTGCGACGATTCGGACTCGATTATAATTAAGTCAATTCACAAAAAAGTTCAAATTTATCACAAAATTAAGAATACTTCTTGGTCATAATTACACCAATTTCCAAAAAAAAAATTTTGGTTCGCTCTGACGGTTTCCGGGTGGCATAGTCCATTATTATAATTTTACGACTTTGTAGCACCTGTAGAGCGATTTAATAAATATTAATTTCAGAGGTAACTGAGGGTCTTCTGACATCGCAAGCATTCGTTTTCTTCCTCGCCGGTTTCGAAACTTCGTCAACCACGATTTCTTTTGCTCTATATGAACTTGCAACTTCTCCCGAAGTTCAAGAAAAATTAAGATCTGAAATTCGTGAAACACTGAAATTAAACGACGGTCAGTTATCATATGATGTGATCAATGAGATGAAGTACCTTAATATGGTCATACAAGGTTTGAATTACCGTAAACAATAATAATTTTTATATTACTTAATTATATTGGATTACTTATATAATTTCATTTATATCCATGTCTAGAAACTCTGAGGAAGAATCCACCAGTTTCAGTATTACGAAGGAAATCAGTACAACCATACAAATTACCTGGAACTGATATCACTCTGCCTACTGGTACAGCAATACAAATTCCAGTATACACTTTGCATCACGATGAACAGTATTATCCAAAGCCGGAAGTATTTGATCCCGAGAGATTCAATAAAAACGAAGCAAAAACTTCCCTCTCAGGAATTTATTTACCATTTGGCGATGGCCCAAAAAATTGCATTGGGGCGAGATTCGCTAGTTATCAATCGAAACTGGGACTGGTTACAATATTGAAGAACTATAGAGTGTCGCCTTCCGAATCTACTACAGTACCATACAAAATTGATAAAACCGCCATAATATTATCTGCTGCAGGAGGCATGAATTTAAAATTTGAGCCATTAATTTAAATTTTCATACATTATGTAATTGTATGGAGATATATGCAATCGTATTTGGCATAAATAATATTAAATTAATTGAACTATTGTTACATACAGCGACTTTTTATCTTTATTTATTCTGACTTAATTATTAATTTCTTAAAAATACATTAATAAATATAAATAAATACAACAATACAAAATACCATATTATATTTTTTATTGCATATAGTTATTATTGAATTTTATTTATGAATATTGTAATATGTAATTTAGTAGACTCAATATTTATTTTTATATATATGGACGGCCCTTAGGAAACATTTATTCTGGAGCCGTTAAATTTAATAAACAAAATACTATTATTAATCATTAATCAGTAAAATAACATAACATAATATACTGTGTAAAAATTTACATATGATCAACATTTGTTAAATGAAATTAAAAAAAATTAATCATTACGCATCTGTATTTTTTTGCCGTCTCTGGTGTTTCCTATTCAGCTGGCCTCTAATCATGTATTGTATATTGAATTTATTAAAAAAAAATGTTCTTGAATCAAGTATATAATTTTGAAGAACTTGATATTTTTATTGATTTGAGTCGAAAAATTCTTGATTTAAGGAAATTTTACTTTATTCAAGAATTTTTTGTCTTGATTCAAGATAATTACCCTCTTCAAAGTTATATTCTTGGTTCAAGAATTGTTCTCTTGAATCAAATTAATTTTTTTTTTCAGTGTAAAAATTATTAAAAATGATCATGAAATTTTTTCAGAAAATGCCTAAATAAAAACCCCGTTAAAGTTACAGCTATTAATATTGATTTTTAAGGGTCGCAAATTAAAATTTTCCATTTCCCGTTTAAATTACATGAGAAACATAGACTCGAAATTTTGTAATTTTATATTTTGCAATACAAACAGCTTACCAGTTAGCGTAATACATATTTTTATAAGAAATTAAACGCTCTTTAAAAAAAAGTTTTTTATGATTTTCGAATAAATTTACTTTTTCAAAAATGATTCAGAGTCAAAGTTGGGCCTATCCTAAATTCATAAATTTATTTTCATTTTTAGCAAAATCATTATATTTTTATCATTAAAATATATTTAGAGCTGGAGTTTAAGTCGTCCACAAATACTTTGAACAACAATTGGAAAGTAAGAAGTTAACGGATAATCGACCATAGAATATGCATTCTTATATAATAATATATACAAGGTATTATATTTAAAATATAAATGAAAGATTTTACGTCAAATTTTAAGAATCTTTTGACCTTTTAACAAACAATTACAATTAACTGTAATGTTAACTCTATTGTTAATCTTTTAGTGTCACTTGTGACGACAATAGATACATATGCTGAGTTACCGTGAATTGGCAGATTTGCAAACAGCATTAATATCGGAACCAATTGCTATATAAATTGATAATTACCTAGAATAATACCTTTTTCTACCTGCAGAAGAAAGCAATACCCTCAGTTTTCTACTTTACATGATTACTGACTAGGTAGTCTAAGAAAAAACTATACATTGACATTTAAATATTAATAAAGATTGTCGGTAAAAAGGGATTAGAGACAATTTTTCGTCGACAAAAATAACAGGAGTTTGTTAATTGCATCCTATTCAATAAATTATTCACATAAATCTATTGCAATTTTTAAAATAGTATTCAACAATTTTCTTATAAACTTTAAAAGTCTATCTATATCTTATCTGGTGAATTTTTTAGAAAAAAATAAGTCAAGTCTAATGCAAAGAAAATTTAATTTAAAAAAATACTGTGTATAAATTAAAAAGAAATAAAAAGGATGTGGTGTCGTGGGACACCAGGTAGGAACGAAATTCCTACCTAGTAGGTTTAGGAAATTAAGTATTTTAGGAAATAATAAATTACTTAAAATAAAAAAACATTGAAATTATATGAAAAATAAACGTGGCTACTTACGAGTAAAATGTATCTATAATGTGAGTATTCGCTACATGCTTGTCCATGAATTCATGAGTACACGGAGAGAATTTTATGTTAACCCTAACAATACTTGTTTTGTAGATTTTACTATCTTAGATGGTAATTAATTTTATAAAAGTTAAAATGATAAATATAACAATTTAAATTATAATCAATACAATAATAAATAATAATTTCTAAGCGATTAACGAGCGATCGTATACCATTTACTATCGAGATGGTTACATTTACCATCACAAGTAGTTAAAGTTACCAATTGTATTATAAGCTATTCAGTAAAAGTAAGCATTGAATTAATATCAACAACATTATCAATAATAGAATAATAATAATCTATATTATTATGAGAATAAGCAAAATTTTGTGGCCAGGGTATTTATATGCCAGGGCATGTGGGTACTCAAATGAAAGCTCTTGATGAGTGTAACATCGGGTTGAGATTATATCTTTATAAATGTCAATAGTTAAGAAATGACCTTGTATCTTGTGAACTATTGACATTTTTTAAGATATAAGCTCATTCCGATGTTACACTCATCGAGACCTTTCATCCAAGTACTCACATGGCTTTTTATATATATATATATATATATATATATGGTATTTATGGAATATATAAATATATAAAATATATGAAAAATTGATGTGGGTACTCAAATGAAAGGACTCGATGAGTGTAACATCGGAATGAGCTTATATCTTAAAAAATGTCAATAGTTCAAAAGATACAAGGTCATTTCTTGATTATTGATATTTTTTAAGATGTAACCTCATCCCGATATTACAATCATCAAGAGCTTTCATTTGA